GATCAGTGATGTACTACATGGATGTACTTAGTTAAATACTATACTTAGTAGTACTGTCCTCTCTGATTGAAGGTTGTACTGATCAGTGATGTACTACATGCATGTACTTAGTTAAATACTATACTTAGTAGTACTGTCCTTTCTGATTGAAGGTTGTACTGATCAGTGATGTACTACATGGATGTACTTAGTTAAATACTATACTTAGTAGTACAGTCCTTTCTGATTGAAGGTTGTACTGATCAGTGATTTACTACATGGATGTACTTAGTTAAATACTATACTTAGTAGTACTGTCCTTTCTGATTGAAGGTTGTACTGATCAGTGATGTACTACATGGATGTACTTAGTTAAATACTATACTTAGTAGTACTGTCCTTTCTGATTGAAGGTTGTACTGATCAGTGATGTACTACATGGATGTACTTAGTTAAATACTATACTTAGTAGTATTGTCCTTTCTGATTGAAGGTTGTACTGATCAGTGATGTACTACATGTATGTACTTAGTTAAATACTATACTTAGTAGTACTGTCCTTTCTGATTGAAGGTTGTACTGATCAGTGATGTACTACATGTATGTACTTAATTAAATACTATACTTAGTAGTATTGTCCTTTCTGATTGAAGGTTGTACTGATCAGTGATGTACTACATGTATGTACTTAGTTAAATACTATACTTAGTAGTACTGTCCTTTCTGATTGAAGGTTGTACTGATCAGTGATGTACTACATGTATGTACTTAGTTAAATACTATACTTAGTAGTACTGTCCTTTCTGATTGAAGGTTTAATTGACGAGTGATGTACTACATGGATGAACTTAGTTAAATACTATACTTAGTAGTACTGTCCTTTCTGATTGAAGGTTGTACTGATCAGTGATGTACTACATGTATATACTTAGTTAAATACTATACTTAGTAGTACTGTCCTTTCTGATTTAAGGTTGTACTGATCAGTGATGTACTACATGGGTGTACTTAGTTAAATACTATACTTAGTGGTACTGTCCTTTCTGATTGAAGGTTGTACTGATCAGTGATGTACTACATGGGTGTACTTAGTTAAATACTATACTTAGTAGTACAGTCCTTTCTGATTGAAGGTTGTACTGATCAGTGATGTACTACATGTATGTACTTAGTTAAATACTATACTTAGTAGTACTGTCCTTTCTGATTGAAGGTTGTACTGATCAGTGATGTACTACATGTATGTACTTCGTTAAATACTATACTTAGTAGTACTGTCCATTCTGATTGAAGGTTGTACTGATCAGTGATGTACTACATGTATGTACTTAGTTAAATACTATACTTAGTAGTACTGTCCTTTCTGATTGAAGGTTGTACTGATCAGTGATGTACTACATGGGTGTACTTAGTTAAATACTATACTTAGTAGTACAGTCCTTTCTGATTTAAGGTTGTACTGATCAGTGATGTACTACATGGGTGTACTTAGTTAAATACTATACTTAGTAGTACTGTCCTTTCTGATTGAAGGTTGTACTGATCAGTGATGTACTACATGCATGTACTTAGTTAAATACTATACTTAGTTGAACTGTCCTTTCTGATTGAAGTTTGTACTGATCAGTGATGTACTACATGGATGTACTTAGTTAAATACTATACTTAGTAGTACTGTCCTTTCTGATTGAAGTTTGTACTGATCAGTGATGTACTACATGGATGTACTTAGTTAAATACTATACTTAGTAGTACTGTCCTTTCTGATTGAAGGTTGTACTGATCAGTGATGTACTACATGGATGTACTTAGTTAAATACTATACTTAGTAGTACTGTCCTTTCTGATTGAAGGTTTAATTGATCAGTGATGTACTACATGGATGTACTTAGTTAATTACTATACTTAGTAGTACTGTCCTTTCTGATTGAAGGTTGTACTGATCAGTGATGTACTACATGGATGTATTTAGTTAAATACTATACTTAGTAGTACTGTCCTTTCTGATTGAAGGTTGTACTGATCAGTGATGTACTACATGCATGTACTTAGTTAAATACTATACTTAGTAGTACTGTCCTTTCTGATTGAAGGTTGTACTGATCAGTGATGTACTACATGGATGTACTTAGTTAAATACTATACTTAGTAGTACAGTCCTTTCTGATTGAAGGTTGTACTGATCAGTGATTTACTACATGGATGTACTTAGTTAAATACTATACTTAGTAGTACTGTCCTTTCTGATTGAAGGTTGTACTGATCAGTGATGTACTACATGGATGTACTTAGTTAAATACTATACTTAGTAGTACTGTCCTTTCTGATTGAAGGTTGTACTGATCAGTGATGTACTACATGGATGTACTTAGTTAAATACTATACTTAGTAGTACAGTCCTTTCTGATTGAAGGTTGTACTGATCAGTGATGTACTACATGTATGTACTTAGTTAAATACTATACTTAGTAGTACTGTCCTTTCTGATTGAAGGTTGTACTGATCAGTGATGTACTACATGTATGTACTTAGTTAAATACTATACTTAGTAGTACTGTCCTTTCTGATTGAAGGTTGTACTGATCAGTGATGTACTACATGTATGTACTTCGTTAAATACTATACTTAGTAGTACTGTCCATTCTGATTGAAGGTTGTACTGATCAGTGATGTACTACATGTATGTACTTAGTTAAATACTATACTTAGTAGTACTGTCCTTTCTGATTGAAGGTTGTACTGATCAGTGATGTACTACATGGGTGTACTTAGTTAAATACTATACTTAGTAGTACAGTCCTTTCTGATTTAAGGTTGTACTGATCAGTGATGTACTACATGGGTGTACTTAGTTAAATACTATACTTAGTAGTACTGTCCTTTCTGATTGAAGGTTGTACTGATCAGTGATGTACTACATGCATGTACTTAGTTAAATACTATACTTAGTTGAACTGTCCTTTCTGATTGAAGTTTGTACTGATCAGTGATGTACTACATGGATGTACTTAGTTAAATACTATACTTAGTAGTACTGTCCTTTCTGATTGAAGTTTGTACTGATCAGTGATGTACTACATGGATGTACTTAGTTAAATACTATACTTAGTAGTACTGTCCTTTCTGATTGAAGGTTGTACTGATCAGTGATGTACTACATGGATGTACTTAGTTAAATACTATACTTAGTAGTACTGTCCTTTCTGATTGAAGGTTTAATTGATCAGTGATGTACTACATGGATGTACTTAGTTAATTACTATACTTAGTAGTACTGTCCTTTCTGATTGAAGGTTGTACTGATCAGTGATGTACTACATGGATGTATTTAGTTAAATACTATACTTAGTAGTACTGTCCTTTCTGATTGAAGGTTGTACTGATCAGTGATGTACTACATGCATGTACTTAGTTAAATACTATACTTAGTAGTACTGTCCTTTCTGATTGAAGGTTGTACTGATCAGTAATGTACTACATGCATGTACTTAGTTAAATACTATACTTAGTAGTACAGTCCTTTCTGATTGAAGGTTGTACTGATCAGTGATGTACTACATGTATGTACTTAGTTAAATACTATACTTAGTAGTACAGTCCTTTCTGATTTAAGGTTGTACTGATCAGTGATGTACTACATGCATGTACTTAGTTAAATACTATACTTAGTAGTACTGTCCTTTCTGATTGAAGGTTGTACTGATCAGTGATGTACTACATGTATGTACTTAGTTAAATACTATACTTAGTCGTACTGTCCTTTCTGATTGAAGTTTGTACTGATCAGTGATGTACTACATGTATGTACTTAGTTAAATACTATACTTAGTAGTACTGTCCTCTCTGATTGAAGGTTCTACTGATCAGTGATGTACTACATGGATGTACTTAGTTAAATACTATACTTAGTAGTACTGTCCTTTCTGATTGAAGGTTGTACTGATCAGTGATGTACTACATGGATGTACTTAGTTAAATACTATACTTAGTCGTACTGTCCTTTCTGATTGAAGTTTGTACTAATCAGTGATGTACTACATGTATGTACTTAGTTAAATACTATACTTAGTAGTACTGTCCTCTCTGATTGAAGGTTCTACTGATCAGTGATGTACTACATGGATGTACTTAGTTAAATACTATACTCAGTAGTACTGTCTTTTCTGATTGAAGGTTGTACTGATCAGTGATGTACTACATGGGTGTACCTAGTTAAATACTATACTTAGTAGTACTGTCCTTTCTGATTTAAGGTTGTACTGATCAGTGATGTACTACATGCATGTACCAAGTTGGTTAAATTCTATACTTAGTAGTTGATGCTGAAATTGTTAAGTCGTTCGTCCAGATCTGAAAGAGCGGTTACTGATTGAGACATTTTTTTGCGCGTCTTCACATGCAACTACGCCTGCCCCATGACTCAGCAGATCTGCTTTCCCTTTCTGAGGACTTGAGATCACCCCCAGTTTATGGTTGGGTTTGTGTTGCTCAGTCTTTAGTTTTCTATGTTGTGTCTTGTGTACTGTTGTTTGTCTGTGCGCCTCTCTTTTAGTAGTATTGTCCTTTTTGATTTAAGGTTGTAGTGATCAGTTTTGTATTCTTTTGATTTAAGGTTGTAATGGTCAGTTTTAAAATTGAGAGTGGAAATGGAGAATATGTCAAAGAGACAACAACCCGGCCAAAGAGCAGATAACAGTCGAAGGCCACCAATGGGTCTTCAACGCAGCGAGAAAAAAATCCCGCACCCGGAGGCGGTCCTCAGCTTGCCCCTAAATAAATACTAGAATGTGTACTAGTTCAGAGAAAATGGACGTCATACTAACTCCAAAACATATAAATGACCTAAAATAAAAAAAACATACAAGACTAACAAAGGCCAGAGGCTCCTGACTTGGGACAGGCGCAAAAATTCTTTTGGATTAAGGTTTGAGGGTGAACGTAAACTTTTGACTTATGACTGGATTCTAAGGCTGTTGTATACACATATATTACCTTCCAACATTTATTTTGTTTTATTTCAGGTAGAAATGTCCTCCAAGTCATGTGAACCTTGTCATTTCCATGGGTCATTGAAAAATGCTGACTTTTGGTGTACAAATTGTGAGGAAATGCTATGCAAGGAATGTCGTAAACATCACCAGTCATCTAAGGCCACTAGAGGGCACCACCTTTGCACTGTTCAAGAGTATGAATTTATGGAGTCGCATCCTTTCAAAGTGCCATCGCGTTGCAACACACATAACAAGAAGTACGATGCCTACTGTATCACTCACGAGCAGCCATGTTGTATAATCTGCGTTACTTCTTGTCATGGGGGATGCGCAGGCGTAGTTGCATTTGAAGACGCGCTAAAAGGTTTTCAATCAAAAACTGCTCTTTCAGATCTGGACGAACGACTAAACAATTTCAGCATCAATGTAGATAATTTCCAACGCAGTAGGGAAAGAGTATTGTCTGATTTAGAACAACAGAAGGAGAGAATTGAACATGTAATCACGGAAAAAAGACGAGGGATTAACGAATATCTGGATAAGATTGAAGATAGACTCCGAGGCGAGTTAAAATCGAAATACATCAAGTGCATAGGTGATATCAAGATTCAAGCTGATAGAATAAAACAAAAGCAAGGGAAAGTTGAGGAAATCAAGTCAAATTTTGAACAAGTAAAAGAAAAGAAAACAGGCGTACAATTGTTCTTAGCTACGGGTGAAATACATGCAATGGTTTTGGAACAAGAAAATTTCGTAGAAAACATTTATGAGAGCCTTCATAAGTACGACATGTCTGTTACATTTGATGACACAGCAAACAATTTATTAATGGCTTTACCCAACCTGGGCAATATTCATATCACTGAGTCTCCTTGCCGAATCTCTATGATACTGGGACCGTCAAAGACACCACTTGTAGACGTACCTTGGATTTTCAAACCAGTGCAACTCAAGCAGACAAAAAAGATTTCTGTGAAGAAGGGGGATAATGGCCTTTATATAAACAGTGGGGTTATAATTGGGGATGGACGAATAGTCTTGACGGACAAATATAATAACCGTTTGATAGTCTACGCAGAATCTGGAGTATTTCAGCGCGATATTCCACTGTCTTGCTCGCCATGGGACGTTACGGAAGTGGAGAAAAGTCACGTTGCCGTCTCCCTACCTGACAGCAGTTTGGTTGAAGTCGTTGATATCAACAAGGGAAAAATTGTAAATAAATTTAACATTTCCGGACAATGTTCCGGAATATCATTTACAGGCGATAATATTTGTGTAGCCGTTGCTGGCGACGGTATACAAGTTTTAGACATGAAAGGAAACAAAGTGAAGACACTTCCGGTTGATGTAACCAGGGAAACGTTCATGACGGGTGACATTGATAAACTCTACTATACACATTACACAACACACACTGTACACTGTACAACAATTGACCATGAACAAGTGTACAAATTCAACCATGATGAACTTAATTTTCCACAGGACCTCAGTGTTGACGGGGAAGGTCACGTATTTGTTACCGGTTTCATTTCTAATACTCTACTGTGCGTTTCTCCTGACGGTCAGCATAGGCAGGTGCTTTTACGACAATCAGATGGGTTAAATTCTCCGACGGCTGTATTCTTTGACAAGAAAAAGAAATTATTACTAGTCTGTACGAATTCGGCTAGTACAGTGTCACTCTATGAAATTTTGCATTAATTACCTACTTCGAAAAAATTTAAGGAAACGTTCGCTCGTCTCATATAATAGTCTGGCTATTTCCGATTCTGAAAGAACGATTTCATCAATGATTCTGTAAGAACGATTACAGCGATGATTCTGTAAGAACGATTTCATTGATGATTATGTAAGAACTTTTTCATCGATGATTCTGTAAGAACGATTTCATCGATGATTCTGTAAGAACGATTACATCGATATTTCTGTAAGAACGATGATTCTGTAAGAACGATTACATCGATTGACAGATCTGGTTATATTGTTATATTTAGAGTTACTTCTCTTGTGTCATACTAGTACTGAAGTTAACGTTGTAGTTTATTTTGATTTCTTTGTTTGTGTCTTGAATTTACTAGGTCACATGTTTATGTTTTATTTACAATTATAGATTCTATTTAACCTGACTTTCCTGTTAGAATTTGGCAGAAACTGATTAGAATTTTCCGTTTGACACAAAAATTACCGAAATAAACAGTTAATAAAAAAAATTGACAAAAGGTATACACTTGGTTACCTGCTGCATGGAGATGAGGGGTCCTAAACAATGTCCACGTCTATACAGGACAACGATCACCTAAAGGTATACACTTTGTTACCTGCTGCATGGGGATGAGTGGTCCTAAACAATGTCCACGTCTATACAGGACAACGATCACCTAAAGGTATACACTTGGTTACCTGCTGCATGGGGATGTCCCAAACAATGTCCACGTCTATACAGGACAGCAATCACTTAAAGGTATACACTTTGTTACCTGCTGCATAGGGATGAGTGGTTACAAACAATGTCCACGTCTATACAGGACAACAATCACTTAAAGGTATACACTTTGTTACCTGCTGCATAGGGATGAGTGATCCCAAACAATGTCCACATATCTATACAGGACAACAATCACTTAAAGGTATACACTTTGTTACCTGCTGCATGGGGATGAGGGATTACAAACAATGTCCACGTCTATACAGGACAACAATCACTTAGAGGTATACACTTTGTTACCTGCTGCATGGGAATGAGTGGTCCCAAACAATGTCCACATCTATACAGGACAACAATCACTCAAAGGTATACACTTTGTTACCTGCTGCATAGGGATGAGTGATCCCAAACAATGTCCACATATCTATACAGGACAACAATCACTTAAAGGTATACACTTTGTTACCTGCTGCATGGGGATGAGGGATTACAAACAATGTCCACGTCTATACAGGACAACAATCACTTAGAGGTATACACTTTGTTACCTGCTGCATGGGAATGAGTGGTCCCAAACAATGTCCACATCTATACAGGACAACAATCACTCAAAGGTATACACTTTGTTACCTGCTGCATAGGGATGAGTGGTCCCAAACAATGTCCACATCTATACATGACAACAATCACTCAAAGGTATACACTTTGTTACCTGCTGTATGGGGATGAGTGGTCCCAAACAATGTCCACGTCTATACAGGACAACGATCACTTAAAGGTATACACTTTGTTACCTGCTGCATGGGGATGAGTGGTCCCAAACAATGTCCACGTCTATACAGGACAACGATTACTTAAAGGTATACACTTTGTTACCTGCTGCATGGGGATGAGTGGTCCCAACCAATGTCCACATCTTTACAGGACAACGATCACTTAAAGGTATACACTTTGTTACCTGCTGCATGGGGATGACGGGTTACAAACAATGTCCACGTCTATACAGGACAACGATCACTTAAAGGTATACACTTGGTTACCTGCTGCATGGGGATGAGGGGTTACAAACAATGTCCACGTCTATACAGGACAACGATCACTTAAAGGTATACACTTGGTTACCTGCTGCATGGGGATGAGTGGTCCCAAACAATGTCCACGTCTATACAGGACAACGATCACTTAAAGGTATACACTTTGTTACCTGCTGCATGGGGATGAGGGATTACAAACAATGTCCACGTCTATACAGGACAACGATCACTTAAAGGTATACACTTTGTTACCTGCTGCATGGGGATGAAGGGTCCCAAACAATGTCCACGTCTATACAGGACAACGATTACTTAAAGGTATACACTTTGTTACCTGCTGCATGGGGATGAGTGGTCCCAAACAATGTCCACGTCTATACAGGACAACGATTACTTAAAGGTATACACTTTGTTACCTGCTGCATGGGGATGAGTGGTCCCAACCAATGTCCACATCTTTACAGGACAACGATCACTTAAAGGTATACACTTGGTTACCTGCTGCATGGGGATGACGGGTTACAAACAATGTCCACGTCTATACAGGACAACGATCACTTAAAGGTATACACTTGGTTACCTGCTGCATGGGGATGAGGGGTTACAAACAATGTCCACGTCTATACAGGACAACGATCACTTAAAGGTATACACTTGGTTACCTGCTGCATGGGGATGAGTGGTCCCAAACAATGTCCACGTCTATACAGGACAACGATCACTTAAAGGTATACACTTTGTTACCTGCTGCATGGGGATGAGGGATTACAAACAATGTCCACGTCTATACAGGACAACGATCACTTAAAGGTATACACTTTTTTACCTGCTGCATGGGAATGAGTGGTCCCAAACAATGTCCACATCTATACAGGACAACAATCACTTAAAGGTATACACTTTGTTACCTGCTGCATGGGGATGAGGGGTTACAAACAATGTCCACGTCTATACAGGACAACAATCACTTAAAGGTATACACTTTGTTACCTGCTGCTTGGGAATGAGTGGTCCCAAACAATGTCCACGTCTATACAGGAAATGATTACTTAAAGGTATACACTTTGTTACCTGCTGCATGGGAATGAGTGGTCCCAAACAATGTCCACGTCTATACAGGACAACGATCACTTAAAGGTATACACTTTGTTACTTGCTGCATGGGGATGAGTGGTCCCAAACAATGTCCACGTCTATACAGGACAACGATCACTTAAAGGTATACACTTTGTTACCTGCTGCATGGGGATGACGGGTTACAAACAATGTCCACGTCTATACAGGACAACGATCACTTAAAGGTATACACTTTGTTACCTGCTGCATGGGGATGAGTGGTCCCAACCAATGTCCACATCTTTACAGGACAACGATCACTTAAAGGTATACACTTGGTTACCTGCTGCATGGGGATGACGGGTTACAAACAATGTCCACGTCTATACAGGACAACGATCACTTAAAGGTATACACTTGGTTACCTGCTGCATGGGGATGAGGGGTTACAAACAATGTCCACGTCTATACAGGACAACGATCACTTAAAGGTATACACTTGGTTACCTGCTGCATGGGGATGAGTGGTCCCAAACAATGTCCACGTCTATACAGGACAACGATCACTTAAAGGTATACACTTTGTTACCTGCTGCATGGGAATGAGTGGTCCCAAACAATGTCCACATCTATACAGGACAACAATCACTTAAAGGTATACACTTTGTTACCTGCTGCATGGGGATGAGGGGTTACAAACAATGTCCACGTCTATACAGGACAACAATCACTTAAAGGTATACACTTTGTTACCTGCTGCTTGGGAATGAGTGGTCCCAAACAATGTCCACGTCTATACAGGAAATGATTACTTAAAGGTATACACTTTGTTACCTGCTGCATGGGAATGAGTGGTCCCAAACAATGTCCACGTCTATACAGGACAACGATCACTTAAAGGTATACACTTTGTTACTTGCTGCATGGGGATGAGTGGTCCCAAACAATGTCCACGTCTATACAGGACAACGATCACTTAAAGGTATACACTTTGTTACCTGCTGCATGGGAATGAGTGGTCCCAAACAATGTCCACGTCTATACAGGACAAGAATCACTTAAAGGTATACACTTTGTTACCTGCTGCATGGGGATGAGTGGTCCCAAACAATGTCCACGTCTATACAGGACAACGATCACTTAAAGGTATACACTTTGTTACCTGCTGCATGGGGATGACGGGTTACAAACAATGTCCACGTCTATACAGGACAACGATCACTTAAAGGTATACACTTTGTTACCTGCTGCATGGGGATGAGTGGTCCCAACCAATGTCCACATCTTTACAGGACAACGATCACTTAAAGGTATACACTTGGTTACCTGCTGCATGGGGATGACGGGTTACAAACAATGTCCACGTCTATACAGGACAACGATCACTTAAAGGTATACACTTGGTTACCTGCTGCATGGGGATGAGGGGTTACAAACAATGTCCACGTCTATACAGGACAACGATCACTTAAAGGTATACACTTGGTTACCTGCTGCATGGGGATGAGTGGTCCCAAACAATGTCCACGTCTATACAGGACAACGATCACTTAAAGGTATACACTTTGTTACCTGCTGCATGGGAATGAGTGGTCCCAAACAATGTCCACATCTATACAGGACAACAATCACTTAAAGGTATACACTTTGATACCTGCTGCATGGGGATGAGGGGTTACAAACAATGTCCACGTCTATACAGGACAACAATCACTTAAAGGTATACACTTTGTTACCTGCTGCTTGGGAATGAGTGGTCCCAAACAATGTCCACGTCTATACAGGAAATGATTACTTAAAGGTATACACTTTGTTACCTGCTGCATGGGAATGAGTGGTCCCAAACAATGTCCACGTCTATACAGGACAACGATCACTTAAAGGTATACACTTTGTTACTTGCTGCATGGGGATGAGTGGTCCCAAACAATGTCCACGTCTATACAGGACAACGATCACTTAAAGGTATACACTTTGTTACCTGCTGCATGGGAATGAGTGGTCCCAAACAATGTCCACGTCTATACAGGACAAGAATCACTTAAAGGTATACACTTTGTTACCTGCTGCATGGGGATGAGTGGTCCCAAACAATGTCCACGTCTATACAGGACAACGATCACTTAAAGGTATACACTTTGTTACCTGCTGCATGGGGATGAGTTGTCCCAAACAATGTCCACGTCTATAGAGGACAACGATCACCTAAAGGTATACACTTTGTTACCTGCTGCATGGGGAGGAGTGGTCCCAAACAATGTCCACGTCTATACAGGACAACGATCACTTAAAGGTATACACTTTGTTACCTGCTGCATTGGGATGAGTTGTCCCAAAAAATGTCCACGTCTATAGAGGACAACGATCACTTAAAGGTATACACTTTGTTACCTGCTGCATGGGGAGGAGTGGTCCCAAACAATGTCCACGTCTATACAGGACAACAATCACTTAAAGGTATACACTTTGTTACCTGCTGCATGGGGATGAGGGGTTACAAACAATGTCCACGTCTTTACAGTACAACACTACACTACCTCGAATTTTGTCACACTTAACCTGTACTTACTACCCAGAGGATGCAAGGTCCGACGCACTTACCTTGTATATTATAAACAGTACAGTTATCCCTTCATGGTATGCGCTTTGTTACCTGCTGCATGGGGAGTGGCCCGAAACAGTTCTCATGTCGAAACAGAATAACGCTACCTTATAGACGAAAAGTTTGTTATAATTGGAGGATGAAAGTTCCGAAGCACCTACTTTACGCTACAGTGCAAAGGTTATTTTAAAGGGACAATCAAAATTCATAAGTCGAAGACACCAATCAATAAAAATGAAAAAAAAACTTTTTGAATCCCAGCAATGTAAGATACGTGCACTTGTCTTGAACAGGACAATAATAATTAAACGGTGAAAACCTTTTTAAAGCTCGGAGATGGAAGGTTCAAACACTGTCCTCAATGCAAAAACGATGAACACTGTGCTAATAGATTAGGCTTCAAGATAAGATTCAAGGCACCTAATATGTCCCCGGACAACGATCACAAATAAAGGGTGAAACTTAAGTAACCGTTTGGTATGTAAGATCAGAAAACAATGCGCTTGTCTCAACAGATCAACAACCCTTAAAGGTTGAAAACTGTATTACCAGCTTGAAATTTATTGCACATATTATTATCTTTACTTGTTTTATAATAATCATTGTATTATGATGTTTATGTATCTTGCCCGACAAGGGCCCATGATTGGTATAATAAAATAATGTCTAATGTCTAATGTCTATACTACCTGTATTCTACAATCTATCAACTACTTTTACCACTCAACTACAAACGCCCATGAATGGTCGGATACACAGTAAAAGTGAATACATTCAAACCGTTCACCTCAGTAATATTTCTGTTACAATTCAGTGGACTCTTCTCTAATTGAACGATTATTGAAAGCATTAAAGGGGGTACAGAACACCTAAGGGAGTTAACTCTTTAAAAAGCAGTTGAACGTTTAAATCACATACTATCAGAAAAGAGACATCAAGCTTGTCAATGATCAAAATTAGTGTTTGTCAAACTGCTATCTATCCAATGAAATTATTCCTATAAATTGTGTGGTTCAAATTTCTTGAAATTTATATATTTTTGTCAACAGGTCAAAGAAAATATTTTGTCAAAATTTTATGAAAATTAAACGAGCCAAATCTATTTTAGTAAAAGTATCCACCCGGGCTTTTCGGTTTGGCTCGAACTGCCCAGTCTTTACTTTTCTATGTAGTGTTTTGTATACTGTTGTTTGGCTTTTTATCGTTTGTCTTTCTTGCCATGGTTTTGTTTTGTTGGTCTTTCGTCGACTTACGGATTTTGATTGTGCCTTTAGTAACTTTCGTCTCTATGTTAAACTGAACGAGATATTTATTAAGTGCATATTCATAATGTCAACCACAAGCGTGACTTGGTAATAGAAATATGGTCACTTGGGAAAAGAAATTGGTTTTGCTCATTATCGAAGGCCGTACGATGACCTATAGTTGTTACCTTATATGTCATTTGGTCTCTGGTGGAGAGTTGTCTCATTGGCAATCATACCACATCTTCTTATTTTCATAATCTTGGTCTTCTTCAGACCAGCAGTAAAACCCCTGTGAAAGTGGGACGTCCGTTTGTTTGTGCGGTATGTATAAATTCGCAGCTACGTACGGTCAGAATCGGAACGTTATATCCGATGTCTCGTATAGAGAGATCGCCACGCTTTCAGCGCCTTACGAACCATTGCAACAACTCTTTGAGGGGGTCCTTAGGTGGCATGTTGGTAGGTTTAATTTCTGTCCCTTACCCAATTTACCCTCTTTTCCAGCGTAAGTCATAATTTTCCGCCCTTCATCCTCTTCGACCCTATTACCGGACCTACTGTACCTATTGTATGCATTGTTAATTTGTTCTCGTCCTGAACATGAATGAGGTATTTACCACTGACGTTAAGCAACCAACAATCAATCAATAATCATTCATAATATCTCTAGTGACATCAAACCACCTCCAAAAGTTAATCAAAAGCGATACTTTCTACAAGTTTAATCCAAAGCGAGACTTTCAAAACGTTTAATCCAAAGCGAGAATATATATATATCTGCACGTTTAATCCAAAGCGAGACTTTCTTAATTAACGTTTAATCCAAAGCGAGACTATCTAAATTTTTAATCCTAATCTTCATTTTGGCAAAAATTTCACCGAAGGCAGTCGATAGACTTATAACTAGTGTTTGAACATGTACGTTTGTTCATATTTTTAAAAATACACATGACAATTACGTGAGACTTAATTACAGAAAATCTAGGAAATGCTACAAAGATTTAGATAATGCGGAAGGATGTTACCGGTGAAGTAAAATCGTGATTGAAAGACTGATTTTATTGTTATTTTAATACTTTACTATCGTCTGCATTGCCATTAGATATTATAGTGTTACACGCCGCTCTAATCATCATTGGCACGTTGATGTATCTTAATGAGTTAATATTTTTGTTCGTAAAGTGTTTGTCTAAAATAAAAATGAAATATTCTTTTGAACTCGTTTATAATAAGTGACAGCTGTGTTTCGTTAATACATAATTTGTACAAGAATTACCCACTGTTAAAACTCTTCCGAAGGTAACGTAGAATTGTCTAAGATTTAACCACAAGCAAAACTCTTCCGAAAGTAATATAGAATTGTCTAAGATTTAACCACTGGCAAAACTCTTCCGAAAGTAATGTAGAATTGTCTAAGATTTAACCACTGGCAAAACTCTTCCGAAAGTAATGTAGAATTGTCTAACTAAAGATTTAACCACTGTTAAAACTCTTCCGAAAGTAATGTAGAATGGTCTAAGATTTAACCACTGGCAAAACTCTTCCGAAAGTAACGTAGAATTGTCTAAGATTTAACCACTGGCAAAACTCTTCCAAAAGTAATATAGAATTGTCTAAGATTTAACCACTGGCAAAACTCTTCCGAAAGTAATGTAGAATTGTCTAAGATTTAACCACTGGCAAAACTCTTCCGAAAGTAACGTAGAATTGTCTAAGATTTAACCACTGGCAAAACTCTTCCGAAAGTAATGTAGAATTGTCTAAGATTTAACCACTGTTAAAACTCTTCCGAAAGTAATGTAGAATTGTCTAAGATTTAACCACTGTTAAAACTATTCCGAAAGTAACGAGAATTGTCTAAGATTTAACCACTGTTAAAACTCTTCCGAAAGTAATGTAGAATTGTCTAAGATTTAACCACTGGCAAAACTTCCGAAAGTAATGTAGAATTGTCTAAGATTTAACCACTGGCAAAACTCTTCCGAAAGTAACGTAGAATTGTCTAACTATTAAACATACTTGTAGGTAGCCATTAAGGAAAAATTCGGGAAGATGTCAAAGATTTTCAAAAAGTTTATTAAACAAATAAACAAATCTCCATCTACAAAACAGTTATTTATTAAGAAAAAAAAACGTAAAAGTGACAATAAATAAATGCATAAAAATATAAAATAAATTATAAATGCACAAACATTTGAAATGCCAAAAAAAATTAATACAAAAACAAAAAATATGTAATGTATGGCGTGAAAAATAAATCATGAATATATATGTGCAGATGTAATCAAGTCTTCTGATTTCAGTTTCTATGGTTACAGACTGTATGTACAAATGTAGATGAAATGAGATATGCGGTATACGTCTATGAGACAAAAACCCAACGAAAGCATAATATCAAATAACATCTAGAGGACAACAAACAGTCATCTACAATAGACAGGTGTCATATGCCAAGCTCTCAATTGTCCGGAGGATGAAAGTAATAAAATAAATTAAACAGGAACAAAAATAAATAAGATTAAGATCTACCATTAACATCAACCTTTGGAGTTACAAGTAAATCTCCGTCTATACAGGACATTGGCCTTCAAAAGACATCCGTCATTGTAGTACATCCGCCTTCACAAGACATCCGTCATTATAGGACATCCGCCTTCACAAGACATCCGTCATTATAGGACATCCGCCTTCACAAGACATCTGTCATTACAGGACATTCGCATCCACAAGACATCCGTCATTACAGGACATTAGCCTTCACAAGACATCCGTCATTACAGGACATTCGTCCTCACGAAACATCCGTCATTACATGACATTCGCCTTCACGAGACATCCGTCATTACAGAACATTTGCCTTCAAAAGACATCCGTCATTATAGGACATTTGCCTTCACAAGAAATCTGTCATTACATGACATTCGCCTCCACAAGACATCCGTCATTACAGGACATTCGCCTTCACAAGACATCCGTCATTATAGGACATCCGCCTTCACAAGATATCCGTCATTATAGGACATTCGCCTTCACAAGACATCCGTCATTACATGACATTCGCCTTCACGAGACATCTGTCATTACAGGACATTCGCATCCACAAGACATCCGTCATTACTGGACATTCGCCTTCATAAGAGATCCGCCATTACATGACATTCGCCTTCACAAGACATCCGTCATTACATGACATTCGCATGCACGAGACATCCGTCATTACAGGACATTCGCCTCAATAAGACGTCCGTCATTACAGGACATTCGCCTTCACAAGACATCAGTCATTACAGGACATTAGCCTTCACAAGACATCAGTCATTACAGGACATTTGCCTTCACGAGACATTCGTCATTACAGGATGTTCGCCTTCACGAGACATTTACACACATTCGTTATTACAGGACATTCGCCATTTCACATATTACTCATTACAGACATTCCTCATTACACACATTCGTCATTACACACATTCGTCATTACAATGCATCCGTCATTACAAGACATTCGCCATTACACACATTCGTCATTGCAAGATATTCGTCTTTACAAGACAATTATTATTACAACGCATCCGTCATTACAAGACATTTATCATTACAGTGCATCCGTCATTACATGACATTTGTCATTGCACACATCCGTCGTTACAGTTCATTCGTCATTACAGGAAAAGCAAAAACTTTCAGGTAATTTTTTTCACCTAACAAAGGTAAATATTTTATGCAAAAGTGATTGTTAAATCATGTCAATAGGTCAAATATCACAAAATGTCAGTTATCGCAGAATCCAAAATAACAAGGAGGTCTATGGCACTGACATAAAATCATTTGTTTCACATTCACTACATATATAGAGTAAATTAATTAATATGAAAAAAAAGTCACAGATGAACATATCGTACTGCCTTACTTGAAGACGTTATGGTATATCACCATACATATAAAAATATATCAACGAGGCGTAGTCGAGAGCAATATATTTTGTTAGTATGAAATAAACCATAAAATATGCTTATGAAGGCAGTGCTAATTTCATGTCATAGCTAGCCACAAAAAGAACCCCCTGTTGTCCTTTCTGTTTGCATCTCTGTCCTTTCTTTACACCCCTCTTCCCCTTATAACCTTCCCTGTGCATTTTTTAAAGGAATATAAATATTTTTCAAAGCAGAAAATAATTCTCACTATTGGAAAAAGATTTTACAACCCTAAAGTACATCATAATGTGTAATTCTTTAATTTGTTTAATCTATACGCATGATTAAGGTGTTCCTTTTTTTAACACAACATCTATCTAAAGCGTCCATCTACTTAACACTGTGCTCCTCTGGCTTCAAATTCTAGCAAGAACACTAACTAATGGCTAATTGATGAAATGTACTAAGTAGAAAATATTTATATGATAGAAATCTTACAATAGAATAATCGAGTGAGAGAAAGTTTTTACTGGCAGACCAGTTTAGTTCTCATTCAAATAATGAATTAGCGCATTAATTTTCGCACCAAAAAATGCCAGGTGCAATGATTTGTTTGATTTACAACATAACCAAGATGATGTACTGTTCAAAACAATCATAGCCACTGTATAACAAGGTAACACAAAGTACACGACTAGTTCTCACATATTATAGCTAGTGTGTACTTTAATCTTTTATCCCAAAAATGGACTTCTATCTCTAAAGGTTTTTTCTGTTATCATACAAAACTTTCATTTGCTAGCGTCTTCTTAAAGTCGTTCGATAATGTCCCATTACTGCTTCTATAAGACACGTAAGAGTTCTTATCGGAAGGTTTCGGGACTGTCCCGTTGTTGATCTGGAACTGTCTATCACGATATAGGTCCCAAAGGTGCTTTATAACATCTCCCATTACAGCACTACCCACATTATTTGACATGAGTTGTAGTAGAAATATTCCGTCATATCTTAGATGTAAATCTACAAACTTTTGTAGTAATTTTTTAGTTAATGCGTCTCGTTCCCTCTTCTCGTAAAGTTCGTTGAGTCGTAAATACTTTTTGATGAAGTTTTTCCTCGACTTCTTCATAAGAGCGACGACTAACGTATAAATTACGTTTAGGAATGACATTACCGATATCAAAGTCATCCAAAACCATAGGATTATAAATAATTTTTCGTTGTAAAGGTTAACCGGAAGTACGCACTGCATCGTGTACCTCTGAATGTTTGACAACTGACGAAGGTCAAAGTCACAGAGCGTGACTCTTGGGAATCTCACGTGATTTAGCGACCAATCTTGGCCAGCCAAGAATTTATTTATTACGTCATATCCGTAAATATATATATCGTTTTGAAGAAATTCGTTTAGAAAGAAGAGAAGTCCGAATGAAACAGCAAAGTACATAATTCTGACCATTATTCGAATGCTGATCAGGTAGTTTCCATGGTGACGTCCACAGCCGATGTCGCACAGGCTTGCAGCATGTTCACGAGTTGGAGCAAAAATTCCTGAACGATAAGGACGAACATTTAGACACCATTTATCAATATACTGAGCAACAAATTTTAATTTTTGTTCCCGGTCTTCCTTTGAAGTAAGGTGTGTCTGTTTTGCCAATTCAACTAATTTTTTAATTCCGACTCCGCACCTATTAGACATATATTTCCATACCAGTCGAGGAAATTTACATATAACCGCCATAATAAGTAGAATAAGGGGAACCCATTGGTAATAAAATATTGTGTTACTGTATCGGAACTCATATTCATAAGGAACAGGTTTAAATGGCGGAATATAGTACGTATTCTGAACCCAGCACACAAAGTTCACATATTTTACTTCCTCAGGACTGAGCTCAGCAGGGCACCAGCACTCGATTGGATTCCCGACGTATTCGGCTGTTCCGACGAGAATTGTGCCGAAAAATAGTCCAATAATCGTGTAATAATGGCATAATCGATCGATGAAATTATCGTCGAATACAGTTCGATGGCCTTCGTAAACACCGATAGGTCCAAGAACTTTATCCAAGCTGCAAAGATAAAAATAATTAATTAATTAATTGATTGAATCATTGGTTGGTATGAAACGCTACTTTCTGAACTTTTGGCTATTTCGTTGCGGTCAGTTTTATTGGCGGAGGAAGCCGGAATGCCCGCTGCTGAATAATCCTTATTACAATTAACCAATATTCAATACGATTAGTATGATTGTAACAAATCATAACGTTTTGGTGTACGCTTTTCAAAAACGATTAGTATGATTGTAACAAATCATAACGTTTTGGTGTACGCTTTTCAAAAATATTACCCACAATGCATCACATTCTAAAACAACGAATTGTTGACGGGTATTATTTGATAGCCATCTTTTCCATTAAGTTTTTTTTTTAATTATGTTATTGAATGTCATATTTTACCATTATAATTTTCGTTTCTTGTAAAATTTACAAATATAAATAATAAAAATAAAAAATTAGATTTTGAATTCAAATGGACAAAGACTTGAAAACTCTTCCTTGAGGGTGAGCTTAAAGAAAAATATTTCTATATAATTATGAAGAATTAAACAATTTTCAACAAACAAATTTTGAAAATACACAGGATGGACTGAACAAAGCTATAGACTTTATTTCAGACATGTGTATAAACTTATCACATAGATGTATGAGAATTTTTGCATTGTGTATTATATTTCTATTGTATTGTTTACATGGATTCAACCCCTCGGGTTATAATATGCATTTCATTAAAAAGTAAATGAATAAATTATCTTATATTTAGAAATAGCGACCAGTTAATTTTGAGGTGGTTAACTTCTGAAAAATTGCGTTAGCATATTTTTGTTCTTTCCCTTTCGAAACCCTGCTTGTCTTCTGTTACATCGTGGCAACACCGCATGCACTGTTCAGCGCCCTAGTACTTTCAACCAACTAGGCTATATAAACATACAACCTTCGTTAGCCGAGTAATGCCTTTCCTAGTTGGCTAGGGTTGTAACACAGTACTTGGTGTATAATGGCAAGTGGATGGTGTACCGTTCAGATCTGCTATGTTTTGTCTGTTTTGTATGTTTAGACGTGTAAATCAAAATGTTATCTTGATGAGGCGGCATGGGTAAGTAACATTATAAAATTATAAAACCAGGTTTAATCCGCCATTTTCTACATAAGGAAATACCTGTACCAATTCAGGAATATGACAGTTGTTTTCCATTCGTTCAATGTTTTTGAGCTTTTGATATTGTCATTTGATAAAGGACTTTCCGATTTGAATTTTCCTTGGAGTTCGGTATTTTTGTTATTTTATTTTTTATCATCCTTTACGACAGACCGACAGACAAAACATAGAAGGTAATAATCAGTAATACAGCATTAGATCGTAAAGAACCTATAACTTCAACAGACAAATTATGCTAAGTTAGAATAAGGAGATATGGTAACTACAACCTGAATCAAAGTACTGAAGTACTGAACATCGGATGACCACAAGTTCTTGAGGATGGTCAAAAGCACTTGTCTCAGAAAAAAACAACATATCTCTTTACCTAAAACTGAGGTTAATGTACAGAGATATATTTTTTTCTGAGACAAGTTCGTGCGTGGATGATGAATAAATGACAGGAAATTCAACTTCACCGTAATAACTTGTAGTGATACAAATCAGTATACACTGAGTTGTTGTTTATATTATATTTAAATAACAGTTACATATATATATGATTTGAATCCATTTGTATATCATTCTATTCTACTATTCTAAAAATAGTGCAATGCAAGTGCATGGTGGACACTTTTCTGTAAAAATTCGATTTTTCTAAGATTGGATACGAGTAGGCATTCATATTTTCCCGCAAAAACAATTACAGAGTTACCGGTCCTTGACGGTATTTTCACAAAACGTTCTTTGAGATATTCTTCCGCATGCTTTAACACAATTTTTCGGTACGTGTGCATTGATATTATCAATGATTTTTTACTTATATATATATATCTAACTACAAAACATTTTCATATTTTAATTTATGTTGTAAACAAAAATATTTTTATCGGTATTCATTGAAGAGATGTATTTATATCAAACGATAAGGAATGTTATTTTGCACTCGTTTATGTGCTCGTATTTATCATGTTTATAGATCGGTTACAAACCCAAAACTAATTTACATAATGGAAATCTAGGCGATAGCAATACATCGTTAATGACCTCAAGGTCATCGCGATGTAAAAAGTGGTAATTCTAAAGTGTAGTCTGTTGAATTGTCATAAAATGATGGTCAGTTTCGTAGTCTCGCGGTAGTGCCAGGTAAAATCGAGATATTGTCTATAGAATGTGCAATTTTTCAAAACCTGTAGTGGATAAATTTAATTTTTAAAGCTACGAGATATAAAAAAAAATAAAATATAATGTTTTCTGTTCAATCATTATTGAAAGTGAAATAGTGAAATAATAATTCGCTTTTAGCAGCCAGTTTAGATTTTTGTCAAAATAAGCTAAGAAACATCGCTGATGAATTATTCACTTGCAAGTGAATAATTCGACCTCATTGAATCCGTATTCATGTGACCTTCAATTTAACCCTTTAGCTAGAGATTGGTTACGCATGTATTATGCGAGTTCAGCCATTAAAGGGAAAAGAATGTCAACATTGAAAGTGAAACAAAGGTGAACCATTTTGTTGATTGATTCTCATACAGGTAAAAACGATGTTTAACTTATTTTTTTAACCTATAACATGAAATCAAACAGACCTAGAACAATCCAATTTCACGTGGTCGCAATCTATTTATATTTATGTTTATGTTTATATCGGGATATGTGACCGTCGGCAGTCTTCGGAAGTCATCTCGATGGTTAATAAGATGGCGTCTAGACTAAAATACACACGAGATGCTGATATATATTATCGAGTCAATGCATTGTTCATTGTTTATTTCAGACTTTTTTAATTTGGATGAACGTTTTAGTATGTTATTTATCAAATATGAGAATTTGAGTCAAATCGGTGAACATGAATTTGACAGCTAATGCCCTTTTAAACAACAAAGAATTTGGTCGTGCCTAATTTTTGATGAACCAATAAGTATAATGCACATATGGCTCTATAGCCGTTAAAAATATATATTTTGTACGGCAGTCTCCCCATGAGCGAGGGTCTAGATGACGGGTTCCTCAATTCTATATTCTTTATTTTTGTAAGACTTTTTCTCTATTCTTTATATTTTGTTTAGCACCCCATTATACTATTGTTTATTTTAATTGGGGCCTATTTTTTTTCTCTATGCTTTATATTTTTTGGCCCATTTTTTGTAGTATTGGTGCATTATTCTCTATTCTGTAGACCTCATCCAGACCCTCATAAACTTGATATTAGTACCCACGGGATTCTTGCAACTGGTACCATTGTAATGTTCACCGCATGGATTGCAAGACAATAAATTAAAACGAGTTCAAACTGAAAAAGAGAACAAACCTTATCCCGTTGATGCCTACGTGATTTTTCAATATTGGGATCCACACCCTCAATGCAGTGGCGGATCCAGGGTGTGTGGTGGTGGTGGGGGGGGGGGGGGGGGGTGAGGTTCCTGGTGTTGGAACCCCCCTTTTTTTTAGACGATCAATGCATTTGAATGGGGGCATATATTTGGAACCCCTTCTTTTAAAAATGGCTGGATCCGCCACTGCAATGCAATACTTTGCTACTGGTCCCTGTATTGTAAATCTATTGTATTGGGCGACATTGGCCCCAATATCACGTGTACAGAAACACGATGAAGTTTTTCAAGTCGAAAGAAATGTTGTATTTTTAGAAGCTTGTATACCTGTATAACCTTTACGAGGTCAATAAATTACCCCCACTTCGGATGAATTAGCTACCAACTGTTTTGTACTAGGGTGCACTTAGGTTAGAACATTATTGTATATTATTTTAAACTTGGCAGCGAAACACTCAGTCTTCAAAACATAATATGTATAGAGCTCAGGAAGGAGCTTCTAGCTGTGACAGAATAAAACAACCGTGTGTAAATTAACATCATCTTGAAGAACGCCGCTTAAAATAGCAACACGTCTGCTAGTATTTAGTATACAATTACAATTCGCAGACGATCGGTTGCACATGACCGTAATTCTTATGAAAAGAAATGGAACTTGATACTTGTGTACTTACATTTTGACTAAAACCATTGTTTATGTACAATATCCCAATATCATTAATAGATCATATTGTTTGTATGTATATAATATGGCAGTGTTGATATAATCATGCCAAAAATCTTTCGTCAGCAGTCGGTAAAAGTCGTAAGAAAATAGTGTATTGCTCATAAATGAATTAACCGTTAAAAAGAACTACCGATGCATGTAAAAAAAGTAAATACACATTTCAATTATTAAATACCCGCTTATTATAAACAGATACCTTACAGTGCAGGTGATTTACATTGTACCTGTGCTTTTTCAATTCGGATTTATCTCGTTCTCGTTTGCGTCATCTAATCTCGAGGTTTGAGTCGTCTAATCTCGAGGTCTTGCGTCGTCTAATCTCGAGGTTTGAGTCGTCAACCTCGAGGATTGAGTCGTCTAACCTCGAGGTTTGTGTCGTCTAACCTCGAGGTTTGAGTCGTCTAACCTCGAGGTTTGAGTCGTCTAACCTCGAGGTTTGTGTCGTCTAACCTCGAGGTTTGAGTCGTCTAACCTCGAGGTTTGAGTCGTCTAACCTCGAGGTTTGTGTCGTCTAACCTCGAGGTTTGTGTCGTCTAACCTCGAGGTTTGAGTCGTCTAACCTCGAGGTTTGCGTCGTCAAACCTCGAGGTTTGCGTCGTCTAACCTCGAGGTTTGAGTCGTCTTATCTCGAGGTTTGAGTCGTCTAATCTCGAAGTTTGAGTCGTCTAATCTCGAGGTTTGAGTCGTCTAATCTCGAAGTTTGAGTCGTCTAACCTCGAGGTTTGAGTCGTCTAATCTCGAGGTTTGAGTCGTCTAACCTCGAGGTTTGTGTCGTCTTATCTCGAAGTTTGAGTCGTCTAAAGTTTGAGTCGTGTTATCTCGAGGTTTGAGTCGTCTAATCTCGAAGTTTGAGTCGTCTAATCTCGAGGTTTGTGTCGTCTTATCTCGAAGTTTGAGTCGTCTAATCTCGAGGTTTGAGTCGTCTAATCTCGAAGTGTGAGTCGTCTAATCTCGAGGTTTGTGTCGTCTAATCTCGAAGTTTGAGTCGTCTAAAGTTTGAGTCGTCTAATCTCGAGATTTGTGTCGTCTAATCTCGAAGTTTGAGTCGTCTAAAGTTTGAGTCGTCTAATCTCGAGGTTTGAGTCGTCTAATCTCGAAGTTTGAGTCGTCTAATCTCGAAGTTTGAGTCGTCTAATCTCGAGGTTTGAGTCGTCTAATCTCGAAGTTTGAGTCGTCTAATCTCGAGGTTTGAGTCTTCTTATCTCGAGGTTTGAGTCGTCTAATCTCTAGGTTTGAGTCGTCTAATCTCGAAGTTTGAGTCGTCTTATCTCGAGGTTTGAGTCGTCTAATCTCGAGGTTTGAGCAAATTTAGACAAATATATGAACCCATGTCAGGACAAATTAATGTTTGAAGTAATATGTTTAAATAGAAGTAAGGTTTACTCTGCTCTTGAGAAAAAAAACCAGTGGATGTCACCTACCCTTTCTCTTCATGATCAGTCGAAAAAGAACTGACAATGGCAAGGCAAAAAAAAACACGAAAAACTACAAATGACATACAAAAGTATACAAAACACACCCTAGAAAACTAAAGACTGAGCAAAGCGAAACACTTCCAAAAACAGTATATGATCTCAGGTGCTTCGGGAGGATAAGCAGATCCTGTTTCACATTTGTCACCCGTCTTGTTGTTCGTGAAAATAGAAACCCGAAAGGTCTTATTTTATTAGTTATTGTAGGTCACATTCGAGGAAAAGAGAACGGGGTTAAGGTGACGACAATTGGAACATATCAGTCGTCATTTCATAACAGTCACGTGATGGCGTCAACGCGGTCAAAATCAGAAAGTTTTCAAAACCTTCAAGAATTTTTATATCAAAGAGTCTGAATTGTACGTATAAAAAATGTATCCATTAATTCAGAATGTTATCTAGTCGAGCTTGACAAGGCTATTCAAGGCAATTTCAATTTTTGGAGAGATGTCTTATTGTCAATTATACCACGTCCACTTATTTTCATATCTAAAATTAGACACGTTTAGCTGTGATGCCGTGCATTTAAAAGTAGGCACATATAGCTGTGATACAGTGTATTTAAAAGTAGGCACATGTAGCTGTGATACTGTGCATTTAAAAGTAGGCACATGTAGCTGTAATGCCCTGTATTTTAAAAGTAAGCACATGTAGCTGTGATACTGTGCATTTAAAAGTAAACACTTGTAGCTGTGATACTGTGCATTTAGAAGTAGGCACATGTAGCTGTGATATTGTGCATTTAAAAGTAAGCACATGTAGCTGTGATACTGTGCCTTTAAAAGTAGGCATATGTAGCTGTAATGCCCTGCTTTTAAAAGTAAGCACATGTAGCTGTGATACCGCGCATTTAAAAGTAGACACAAGTAGCTGTGATACTGTGCATTTAAAAGTAAACACTTGTAGCTGTGATACTGTGCATTTAGAAGTAGGCACATTTAGCTGCGATACCGTGCATTTAAAAGTAAGCACATGTAACTGTGCATTTAAAAGTAGGCAAATGTAGCTGTTATGTCCTGCATTTAAAAGTAAGCACATGTAGCTGTGATACCGTGCATCAAAAGTAAACACTTAAAGCTGTGATACCGTGCATTTAAAAGTAAGCAAGCACATGTAGCTGTGATACCGTGCATCTAAAAGTAGGCACATGTAACTGTAATGCCCTGCATTTAAAAGTAAGCACATGTAGCTGTGATACCGTGCATCTAAAAGCAGACACTAGAAGCTGTGATACTGTGCATTTAAAAGTAGGCACATGTAACTTTTAAACTGTGCATTTGAAAGAAGGCACATTTAGTTGTGATACCGTGCATTTAAAAGTAAGCACATGTAGTTGTGATACTGTGCATTTAAAAGTAGACACTTGTAGCTGTGATACCGTGTGATACCGAAACAGTCATACCGTTATTTCGATGAAGATACATAAAGCTGTGTTACCGTGATTTCAAGCTAGAAAAATGAAGTTGTAAAACACTTAGTTATAGAAAACCCTTTTTTTTTTATTTTTCTTGTTTTGAAATAAAATCATGGGAAATTGGCCTTATATCTTTATTGAAATTGTTAATTGTGTTTCGTAAAAGTGTCCCCATAAAATATATATAATTGCTTTATATTTAAAACTTATCTTTTGTGTAATTAAAAGGGTTCAGAAATATTTTCATTTAAATAATTCATGTATTAACATAATATATGCAATTACATTGTAATATGCTAGAGTTTCTAAACAATTTTAAATTCCAAATAAAGTGCGATAACTCTGAATTATTTTACTATATTTTTGGCAAGTTAGTAATTCAATATTGAAGTTTATACAATACACATGTTGTCGACATTGTTTTATATTAAGTACTTTGTGTAAATTCTAAAGATCAAATGAGAAGGGAAAGTATATGCATTTATAATCGCGGCGAATGCATGAAAGGTAAGCACATACTGTCCATTTTTATTCCAAATTTGTTATTTAGCTGCCTCCAGCATGCAAATATCATAGATTACCTTCAACTCAAGTTTTGCAGCGTGTTCAGTCCAGTTATCTTTTCTCCAATGAACAGAATCAATTTATTTTTTCTTAAACTTTGTTTATTTCGTTGTTCTACTATTTTTTTAAATCTTATCGTGTTGAATATCCATCCCAAATTCTAATATTCACGGACGTAAACAAAATAAAAAATATGGAAAATGAAGTGGACACAAAACATATATAATGATGACTCGGACACTGCAATTTCTGTTATTTAAAAAGTAAAATAATTCAAGTAGCGTCGGTTATCTTTCCCTTTTTAGTGCCAAAAATGGGGTTGTATATAAAAAAAAAGAAGATGTGGTATGTCTGCCAATGACACAACTCTCCCCAGAGCCCAAATGACTTAACTATAAAAACTATAAAAACCGGGTCTTTTATGCACACACAAGGTTGCATTTTTCAAAACACAACCATCTGTTATAAGGTATGGTTCGTCAGGCTTTCATGTGATTCCGCCAACCCTAAACGTGCTAAGTACTACTGTTAGTTGAAAGCCTGTAACTACATGGATCACAGGTCCTGTATGAGTTGTCAACTTTTTTACTTTTTATTTAAAGTACATTTTGTGGAAACGCTTTGTCCGAAAGGAAAATCACAAAAACACATTATATCTGCAAATAAATAATTAACAAAAATAAATTGAAATCCTTTAATTAAATTCTTATGTAGATTATGCAGGGATTTACATTTGTCAAACTTCTATTATGTAATGACAATCCATTTCCGGTAAAACCTTGATTGCATTGTTAACGTCATTGTTTTGCCATCCGCTGCAAAAACCAAGTATGTAAATAGACCTTTGCCGGATATTGTCGTTTTTCACCTCAGTATTATCAAAGCTGTAAATTGAAACCATTGAAAAAACAAAACAGATGGTTTATGCAATTAAGGATTTTTGCAAATGACATCTATTTGAATAGTGTAATGTAAATGTAACTTGCTGTTGGACAATGTGTGATAGTCTTTGAATCATTACATATGACAGAATCCGAACTTATTGTAAATTTTCAATTAAATCCAAACTTTATGATTCCTTGAAATTTATAATGCATGCAGTTAAATGTAATAAACCGAAAACTCAACCCGAATTTACTAGCCTAACATTCTTAAATTTACATCAAATTATATGTTTTTATCAAATTAAAGTATGGACGAACATTAAAGCATACATGTCATTTTACAAAAAAAAAATCATTAAAATTATTCTTAATAATAAAGTTAACTTTCAAAACGTATTTGTGAAATAACCATCAAAACAGGAAAGCTCTCTTGACATCAAAACAGGAAAGCTCTCTTGACATCAAAACAGGAAAGCTCTCGTGACATCAAAACAAGAAAGCTCTCTTGTCATCAAAACAAGAACATCTAGTGACATTTAATTAGACAGATAAGCTCTCTTGACATCAAAACAAGAATGTTCTAGTGACACTAAAACAGAAAAGCTCTCGTGACATTAAAACAGGGAAGTTCTCGTGGCATCCAAAGAGCATGTAGAGCAGAAAGTCACATTACAAAAGCTAAATTTACCGACATAGTAAATTAAATGTAGGACATATTCGCTGGACAAAAAAGTCACGGCAAAAAAAAAAATAATTCAGGTTTTAAATAATTCTTACTTTGATTGTGTATGATATTGATATTTGGAACAAAATCAACATTTAAGATTATGCCATTGAACAATTTCCTAAATTA